CAGGGCTGATACTCGCCTCTGGGCTCGCGGGGAGTGCGCGCTGGGGCCAGCCCTGGGAAACACCGGGCCAGCGTCTGCGCGCGGAGTCGCGACTTCCCTGATTTCCGGACGCCCCGGGCGACCTCTGTACCTGACCCGACGCGGGTGCAGGCGGGATTCATCGTGGGGGTTTCCGCGGGACTGCATACCCACTCGCCTGCGATTCCCCCGCAGGGGCCTTTTGTCATTTCCTTGCCCCTCAGGTCACCGCCTTCAACCCGTCCCCGCTTTGAAACGTGAGTTGGGAGCGCCCAGGACTTTGCCCCCGCGCCCCTGCTGTGCACCTTGCCCTTCTCCCTCCCAGGTCCGGCCGGCGCAGCAGGACGCACAAAAGTGAGGCTGGACTGCAGATGCAGACTTGTGCCCCGCGCCTCTGCCGCAGCTGTCGGGGAAGGTGAGAACGCGGAGCAGGCCAGGACTCCCTGTTCCAGGCGCGGGTAGGAAACACCTGGGCTCCCGGGAGCCTTAGCCTGCGCTGTCGATCCGCGGCGAATTCTCGGCGGCCCGCTGCTGGAGCAGGGGCCGGCGGGCCGAGGGAGGGGCCCAGACACACCCGTGGCTCTGGCGGCGCGGGGCCCGGGCAGGAGGGGCTGCGGGGACGGCGGCGGAGAGGCGGGACCCCCGCGGCCCGCGGCCCGCTCCCCGCTCCGCCCCAGCCTTACTGGAAGGCTGTGGCCCCGCGGCAGCAGGACGACTGTGCTGGGCTGTGAGTTTGTCTGGCAGCTTCTACTGAGCAGCTAATAGTATAACAACCCGGCTTTGATAAATCTGAACTAATTACCCCTCTTAATTAAAGTCTTTAGCGGTTGTTTCACTGTTTTGGCAAGAAAACAGGAGAGACTTGCAGTTAGAAAACACCAGAGCCGGAGCTCACAGCGGAGCTGCTGATTAACACTTGAAGCATTTCAAGGACCTGGCACCCGCCACAGTTTGGTTTTCGTCCATGTTTCCTCCTTGAATGGAAGTATATTCCTCTGTACACATATATACACGCACCAAAACATCGAGGCTCCCTTTTGCCAGCTGTGTACAAGTCAGAATGCGATTTCGGGATGCAAACAATAGACACCTGTCCACACGGTGTTATGGTAGTGCATTTGTGGAGATGTGTATTACACACAGCCCCCAGATACAGTGTTCAAATCACACTCGGCACTACAAACATATCACAGGGACCAAGACGACGTCATGCTTCTGTTAACAAAACTCTACTTCATCTGTCTCTCAACTTGACCACGTTTCAAAACTACACCCAAACATTTGGGGACACTATTTGTGCTTGATGAATTTTTCAGATCAAAGCATCAGACAGTACCAGTCCTGGGCTGAATTGATTAGAAAGGAGGACAAATGAAGGAGGTCAGAATCAGGGATCTTTAGTTGAATAATACAACAGAGCCCTAAAGTTTTCTGATTAAATAAGCATGTTCCAAGTATTTATTTTCAACAGTCAATGAATCAATTTCACGTGCAAGAATCAAAACCGAAATTTAAATTCATCCATAAAGAACCTAATGTGTATGTGTGCATATGTGTACGTGTGTGCTCACAAATGTGGAATGTGCCTTTACAGGTGCACACATCTATGTGTGTGTGTGTGTGTATGTATAACATACACACTTTTTTAATTCCAGGGAGGGAGAAAATGATAATAAACAATCAACAGGCATCTTGAGACCTCATCAACACAATGGAAATATATACAATAATAAAATTAAAATGGTGCAGCATTCCCGGGTAGAATAATACAGTCCTCAATAAATACAGCAGAAATTTGTTTAAAACCAAAACAAACAGCATCTCTCCACCCGAGATGAAGTCTTCGAAATTAAAAAAATAATAATAATAACAAAATCAGAAAGCAAACAGAACTCTCCAAGTTTCTCATAGTCGTTAGTGCCTATATAGGATATAATACACAAAACCATTTAGCAGGTGCATGCAAGAGGCAAAAAGGGCTGGGGGATGCAGAGGCTTCTGTTCAGCCCTAAAGTGTGGGGCCCAACATGCCCTGGGATCTGCAGACAAGCACGGACCAGGAGGTCCAGCTCCAGTCTGCGGCTGCCTCAGCAGTGGGAGCCCCTTCTGGGGCGAGAAAGAACTTTAGCCTGAATCACTGGTGGCCCTGGTGGAGCCCGGGCTGCAGGGGCCCCGGGGGCGGCAGCGGCGGTTGCAGAGGCGGCAGCGTCGCGGGCGGCGGCTGCGGTAGCGGAGGCGGCGGGTCGGTGCCTGGCTCCCCAGCGGGCGTGCGGGGCAGCCCCAGGCTGCTGTCGTGCAGTTTGCGGACGTGCTTCTTGAGGTCAAAGTTCCTGCAGAAGCCCTTGCCGCACGTGGGGCAGGTGAAAGGCTTCTTGTCGTTGTGAGTGTGCATGTGGAAGGTGAGGTTGTAAACCTGGTGGAAAGCCTTGTTGCAGATATTGCACTTGAACTGTTTCTCCCCGCTGTGGGTCAACTTGTGGTTTTTGTAATTCCCTGAAACAGACAAATGACAGGGATGTTGCTCTGAAAGAACTCGAACAGGGAGGAGCCCACAAGTCGAAGGTAACAAGCTCAGCGGAGGAGCCGCCGCAGCTCTCGCCACCGGTGCGGGGGTGCTGTATGTGCCTGTAGCTTTCCCACCAGTTTTTAATCTAAACATCAGCAGTAAGGCTGTTTCCTCAACATTTTAATACGCCTTCATTAATCCAACTATATAAAACAATAACCACCGGATGAAAAGAAATACCCATTTGATATACAAGCTATGCCTTTAACCCACACTGGTCAATCTTTCTGGCAAGGGTGTTAGAATGGCAACACAATCACCTTTGTAGTTAGACACTTTTTTTTAAAGATCGCATTAAAAAATGTTTTCCAAAGATTAATTATATTTTAGGTTAAGATTATCATAAAGGGCAATATCTTCTGGGTTTGATACCTTTTTGATGAAATCCTTTGCCACAGAATTCACACACGAAAGGTTTGTAGCCTGCATGTATTCGGGTATGCGTGTTTAACGTGGAACTTCTATTAAATGCTTTGCCACACTGGTTACATTTGTGAGGTTTTTCCTAAGCCGGGAAAGAGGAAAAGCAGAGAATTTAAGGCATTTTGTTAACACAAGGAGTCCTGCAAGTAAATACTAGTGATTTAATGCTTTTAAGCAGAACACAAACAACACAAGCCACCATGCCCCTGTCCAGCCACACATTTAAACAGACCCTGTGATAGAGGAAGGCTTTTCCTGCCATTTTCCCGCACACAGGTGGGAAGTAACCCAGGTGGAATGGACACGGGCGAACACACCTGCGTGTGAATGATCTTGTGCCTGCACAGGGTGCTGGCTTGACGGAACCCCTTTCCACACACTTTGCAAACGAAGGGTCTGGCTCCCGTGTGCACCGGCATGTGACGGGTTAAGTTATAGTGCGCGTTAAAGACCTTAAATTAAACACACAGAACAAGTTAGCCAAACAAGCACTTTGAAGTTAAATGGGGGTGGGGTGGGGGTTCTAACAATACAACAAAAGTGCATCAAAACCCCCACCAAAATAATAAAATAAACGGAGGAAGGGAAGAAGGAGGGAGAAGGGAAGAAGGGAGGGAGGAAGAGAGAAAGGAAGGGAGGGAGGAAAGAAAGAACGAACTCTGTTCTGCGTAGTACTTGCCTTTCCGCACACTTCACAAGTGAAAACTTTGGGCTTGGCAGTAGGAGAGCCCCGGCTGAAGTCCGAGGTTTTGAAACCGATTTTTTCCGACAGAAGCTGGGCGCTCTCTTTCATGTAATGCTGCAGCTGAGCCTGAGACAGGTCTTTGAAAGCAACTCCGGAAGGGTACTTCTCCGCTGCGGGAACCACCAGTTTATTCCTTTCGGCTAAATACGTTTTTGGCTGCGGGTGCAAAGGGGAACTGAGAAAGTAGGAGGCCACCGGGTGGATGTTGACGCCGGCCGCCGGGTGGCACGGGCCGTCACCTCGGTTCAGATAGCACAGGGCACCCATGGCGTGGAAGGAAGAGTGGTTGACCACACGTGGCCTCACCAGCTTGTACTGCTGCAGCGGCAACGCGTCGCGGGCCAGGTCGCCCTTGAGACTCAGCGCGCAGTTGAGCAGGTCGCTGCAGCTAAACGCGGGAGCCGCGGGCGCCACCGCGGGCGCAGCCGGGGCCTCCAGGCTCGCCTTCCGTGGCTCGGAGCCCGTCACCCCTGCCTTGGAGCCGGTGTCGTACGCCACGGGCACGAAGGGGATCATGCAGGGGATCGACGAGTTGAGATGCAGAGAGTGCTTGGGGTCCCCCTTGGGCACGGCTCCCTGCAGGAAATGGGGGACGGGCAGGGCCTTGGGCTCGGGGGTGCGCGCCATGATTCGTTCGATGGAGAAAGCCAAGGGTTTGGATGTGCTCATCATGTTGCCCCGGGCTGGAGCCGTCGCTAACATTTTGGTGGTCGCGTTGTGGCAGCTACTGTCCATGTCTGAGTCGCCAGCGTCGGTCCGCCGGAGCCGGGCTGCGCCGTCAGTTGCCTCGTCCCCTGCTTGTCACAGACCTGCGGAGAGGAGGACCGGCACCATCACCACGAGCAGCCTCCTCCTCCTCCTCCCCTGCATCACCAGCCGAACCTGCCTGCCCAGCCCAATGGACTCCTGCCAGCCCATCGCAGAGTTCTTGGCGCACCAATGACTCGGGGACAATCACTACTTATTTCTATCAATAGAAAGTGTTGTGTCAATAACGCAGCCAAGATCTCGCCAATCGTTAACTTCCAAGAGGAGAAGGTAAACTAGATAATTGCTCAATTCGCTTCCAACAGTCAACAGGAAAACTTTTTTTTTTCTCCGCAGTCAGCGACTACTTTTCATTGGAGAGTAAGCGGAGTTCACCCGACCAGAACAGGCAGGAACACAGTGCGTCGCACGTCTCGCTCTCCTCTCAGAGCACCGTCTTGGGCTCACAGTTCTCTAGCCCACAAGCACCCATCTCCAATCCCACTTGCTTCCTCTGTCTTTTTAATTCTCAATCTGCTTAACCAGGCTTCAGAGGCCAAGCAGATCTGAGATCAATTTTCTCGTTTAGCTCTAAGTGACATCATCTAAAAATCATTGTGCAAGGGCTAAATAAGGAAACGGAGTCTAACTCAGGGGCAAGTGCTGGGCTATATTTATCAAACGCCGGACTCTGGAAAGCCTTGGCCAGGGAGCCTCTGGCTGCGAAATTCCAGGTTTTCTTGCTTGGTTCCTCTGGGCCCGGCCCGGGGCCGCCGCCTCCGCAGCCCTCATTGTCCCCCCAGGGTCGGGGGTGGGTGGAGGGGTCCACGCGCACTCTTGTCTTCCTGGAATCTCCACGGCCCGAACCGAGTAGGACCATTTGGAAGACGCCAGCAGGTAACTGGCCTCTCAATACGCCCCCCTGTGAATTAAAGGTCTTGGGAGGCTTGTTATGTGCGTGTGGTTTTGTAACGGCGACGCCCGCGGCGGCAGGCCCGAGAAAGACGCCCTCCATCCACCAAGTTGAGGAGTTGCTAGGAAAAAGCGGGCATCACGCCATTAGAAACCTTGACTCGGACGGGACCCCACCCCGGATACACACAAACACACTCGCGCGCGCTTCTCTGAGTTTCCGTTGAGAGCTCGGAAAGAGCTTTGCTTTCTGAAGTACCTGCGCTCGGCTAGAGCTCTCCTGGCATTTTAAATACTGAACGTTGAGCGGAGAAGGGAAACAGAACTTAGCGATCCCCACCCGGGCTGCCTGCCTCCCGGAAGCCGCGCGGGCCGTAGTCAGAGTGTCTGAGCCCAGCCGAGCCGCGAGCGAATCGACCTGCAGGCGCTGGAGTCCTGGCCACAGCTACACTCGCGCCTCCCAAGCAGCGCGTGGAAACCACCACCCTCCAGCTTCCCCCGCCCCCGGCCCCGCACCCTCCGGGTATGACGCCTGGGTCCAAACTCCTGGGGCAGAGCAGTCCAGGGTCCCGGAAGACGACGGTGGCTGCGGGTTCTCATCGCTCAGGCCGGAGAGCCCCGGGGCGCGCGGGGAGCAGCGGGGCTGCAAACCTGCGATCCCGCGGAGCTAGGCGCGCGCGAGGGGGTGCTGGAGGCTGGAAGACGCTGCGGGTTCTGCGCGCACGAGGCTGAGCGGCTGTCGGCTGCAGGCCAAGGTGAAATCTGTTTGGTGAGTTCTCCCCGAGTGGGTGACGGTGGAAAGGGTGCCAGCGGGTGCCCGGTATTGAGCCAAGCGTGATGTGGCGTCCTTGGTCAAGAGCCTCAGAAAGGGCCAGCGGTGGGGTGGGCTGTAAATTCTGCGCTTGTTGAGCTGCTAAGACCCGAAGTTGGAACTCAGGGAGAGGAGAGGAAACTGACCTCAAAATATTCCTTCCTCTCTACTCCATTTCTGGCTCAGGGCAGGCCAGGGAGCCAGCCCCCTCAGACCCACTCGGGCTTTCTGGGAGAGTCCGGCCCCTGCCCCAAGAGTCGAGAGGGGTGGAAAGAAAAGTCCGGGCCCGTGGCGGGGAACTGGCTTGCTAAAAGGAGGGCGGGATGAGCAAGTCCTACTGGAAGTCGGGGGCAGCCACAAGGCTAGAAGGGGGAGAGTTCTGGCTGGCTGAGAGTGACCTTAGCAGCTAGGCCCGCAGGGCCTCGTTTCGGGTCTCAGAGTGGGTTGGGGCTGGGAGAACTGACGGGCGGTGAAAGGGGGCCCCGGGTCGAGCTGCGGAAGAGGCGCCCACACCTCCCGGGCGGCGCTTCCAAGCAGTCCCTGGTCCGCGTGAGGCCACTCGAGGCTCGCCCACGCTGGAAAATGTGTTTCCTCTTGCTGTTGAGACCTCCGAAATGCCTCTTCCTTTCCCCTGATCAGACAAAGGGGAACGAGCTTGGCCCCCACGACAGATGGGTCGCCGTTAAGACTTTAATTGCTGCCTTTTGGGGCGGATCAGGTTCCTTTTCCTACCTGCCGCTGCCCAACAGCGAAAAGTCTCCCGCCTGCTGCACTCTGCGGTCCCCGCGCCAGGTTTAAAGCAGCGAAGCACGGAAACGCCCCGCTCTAGAAGGCGTCGGAGCGCCCGCTGGACTGGCACTACTCACCGGCCTCCGAAGCGCTACCTGCCTTCTGGACGGAAGCCACCAGTTTGTTTTACATCCGTCGCGTGTCCCTCCCTCTCCCTCTCTCGCCCTCCCCCTCCCCTCTCCTTAACGGCAAAAAGAGCTTTTATTTGCCCTTGGTAAGGATCTCCTTCGGTGGACACTAAACCAAGAAGGGGAAATAGTGGCTAAGGCGTGTACGTGTTTTGTATAGCTAATATTTCAGCAGTTTGCTTGTCACGGACTTCTCGGAATTTGCCTTTTTGGCAAGAGTTTGAAAATGCCATTTGAGTAAGGCAAATATGGCAGCGCATTAATTATATGCCTTTCCTTTAAGATCGCTCTGAGCATGTTAGTCCTAAAGATTTGAAGAGGTGCTTTGCAAGCCCAGGTCTTGGTGGTAACATTTGTTAATATTTCCCACTCAAAGCCCATTCAAAAATACATCTTTAATAATATTTCTATTAGTAAGTATTGTCTTAAAGCACACAATTATTTAGAATGAGCTTCTATTGTCGACTCTATCTGGTACTTTTTTCTAAATATATTTGAAGAAAAACAAAAATGCAGTAAAAGCAGAAGATATTTGACAAATTTAGAAGCTTCTACAATGGTTCAGTGCTTTAAAATTAATTTACTAAAAAGGAATGCCAAGGTCCCCTGTTTGTTTTATTAATAACAAAATGGAAACTCTTATAGGTCCTTCGGATTTTCTTGGGGGAATCCTTTAATCCCCTCCCCCTCTTTATTTTTGTTCAGAGCTGGTAATTAAGTGTTCCTCCCTTCCTAACCACAGAAAGGCAGTATTTGCCCTAAACTATCCACCTTAAATCCTGGTGGAAGGCAACTTTTTAAGTGCTTGGTTTATCCACATGAGATGGGGGGGGGGGGGTGAGGGAGAACCAGAGATGTAAAAGAGGTCACAGAACAAACTTGGACCAATATCTTCTGAAAAGAAAGAAAAAAGTTCTACTCCTCTAATGTAATTTAAAAATCCCCTTTTTCACTTTTGATTTCAATGCTTCCTTAACTGTACTCTTGATAATACTGAAGAACTTGCAGGATTTTCAGATGCTATTTAAGTCCTCATCACAAGCAAATGAAGTTTCTGGTCAGGATTACTTCAATCGGAAATTTTGAAAGCTAATGTAATGGAAACAGAAATTATCAAGAAACCCATAATCTTTCATTTCTTTTCCCCTAATAAGTCACAAGATACTGTTGCATTTTTTAAACCATAAAAACATGGATTGGAAAACACATCCTGCATTCTGCCAAGAGTGCTGACTGATCTCAGGTGAGGTTTTCAGGGTTTTTAGTCCTGGCAGACATTCCTGAGCTCCCCCTCCCTTCATCAAGAACAACAGTCTGCTTTCTCTTTGCTTTTTCTCCGCAAAAGGAGGGAGAGAAGTCACTACTGCTAAGGAGGCAGCAGCTCCCCAAACGTTCTGGTGCATCTACACTTTTTCCCGTTTTCATAACAACACCAAGGCTCCATACTATGCTTGAAGAAGGGGAAAAACACGCCTCAGTTCCTCCACAGTTCCACTCATAGTTTTTATTTCTGGTCTCCTGTAGTTTGGCGAGGGCGAGTGATGGAGATGGGGTGCTGGACTAGGACACAGATAGGTCAGAGGGATTCAAGGAAAGTCTTTTCCAGGACCTCAGAAGAGTTCACAAACTAACTTTCCAGCGCTGTAACACACACGTACAAGTTCAATTCTCAGGCTGCCACTGGGTGTGCTTTTGCTGAGGCGGTCACACAGGAAGAACTCTTGCTAATTTTGTATAGCTTGTTAAGGACGGTATCACAGGTCAGGAGACTGGGAAGGGCCAGCTAACTCAGCCCTGCTCTCTTCTGAGGGAGGAGAGGTGGGAGGGCTGTCCGTCTCTAGACTTTGGTTGTCGCCATTTCTTTTCTATTAGGATTTCGTTTAAACCTACTGAAATTATTCGTCTCCAAGCAGCACTTGCATATTAAATCAGCCTATAAAAGAAAATGAGGAGCGCAGACAGGAGAGTGCTGAACTACAGGGCAGGCAACGCGACGGCGGCCGCTTGGGCTTGTCCGGTGCCTGCCTTTCCACTAACGCTAGCCTTTTTCTCATCCGTTCCCTTAGGTCGGTGGGGTATGAAACATATGCACCCCAGACTGCGAGGCTACTACTCAGGGCCCTGACTTGACAGAAAAAAAAAAAAGGAGTTTGCAAACAAGCAACGGTTTCTCCAGCCATTTCTTGGAGCTGCTTACAAGTCAAGCAACAGAACCCAGCGAAGTTGTGCTTGTCATCTCCAAAGGTACCCTGGAAGTCGGGGAGGAGAGCCGCTGGCCGAGGCCGCCTCAGACAGGCCTTTTCGCTCCACACCTATCGGCCTGCTTACAACCATGGGAAGATCTGGTTAGTGCGATTGGCTGATGGGCATTTTGCCACGGTCCCCAGACAGTTCTTAAACGTCATTTTTGTGGTCAAAAATAAAAACCGAATTCAACTCTCGGCACGACTCTTTCCTTGAGGTTCAAAGCACTTTTCATGTTACTGACAAACTTTCTTCCTTAAGGGATGGCGCGAAATAAAAGTCAATCGTAGACATTCAAACCACACCGCGCAAGGAATGAGCTTAGCGAGACGGAGAAGAACCGCAGGGGTAAAGCAAAATGCTTGAATCAGAAATCTCCGAGAGCCGTTTATAAACTCGGTTACCTTCTGGACTCCAGCCGACAGCCGCACGCGGTGTGGAGCGGTGCGCGCCGACCCGCTGCCCTCGGCGGCCTCCGCCTCCATCCTCTCCGCGGCCAAGGCGCCCCCGGCCCTGGCTGCCCCTGGGAACTGCGTCCTCGCTGCTGGCGTGGGAGCAGAGGCGCCTTCCTCCCCCCACCCCCCCACCCCCCCATAGCAGAGCCATTTAACAGAACTCGAAGGGCAACAGCAAAGCCTGGAAACTTTCCTCTGCCGGGCTCTCCAAACTCTGGGTTCTTGCTCCCGAGTCCCAAACAATTAAAAAAAAAAAAAAAAAAAAAAAACCGGGGCAAGCCTGCGGGCGGCCGGGCTCCGAGAGGCTGCCTTGGAGGGGTAGGAGTGGGGGCGGCGGCTCAAAAGCCTGGGAGTGAGCCGGGGAGCTGGGGTGCAGCTCCAGAGACCGCCCATCCGAGGTGCGGTGCGCGTATTGCCGGGCTCCGCCTGCGCCTCCCAGGTGCACAGCTCCGGCGCTCGCTGGGCTGCGCGCAGCGGCCGAAGAGGTCCCGGACACTTCCATTCCCGCTCAGTTGCGCTCCCCCTCCACCTCGCTGCGTCCCCAGCGGTCCTGGGGCGGCTCCATCTCTCCTCCAACCCCCAACCCTACCCCACCCCCTCCTGGCTGGTGGAAGGCAGAAGGGGGGCTCCAGAGAGTTTCGGGAGGGGGCGTGGGACCAAGGAACAGATGGCGGAGAGCTCTGGTTGGAAAAGTTTTTGAACAGAACTGTCGCTAATAGACTCGCTTGGACGGCTCAGAGTGTCACTGAAGGGTCATTTAATGTAGATGTCAGGCGAAAGGAAACAGGCCTGGGGGTGTGGCACGCCCAGGGAAAGACTAACGCCCCCACCCCTTTTTGGTTAGCTTTGTCGACTCTGTTTTAAAAGCAGTTTTAAAGTGGATGGCGGCAGAGTACGAGCAGCTCCTGCAAGGTGCCTTTTCGTCCGCTCTCCTTCCCCCCCGCGAATCCTCCCTTCCAAACCCTCGGGTCCCGGCTGAGAAGTAGTCGGGTCTCAGGGGCAGGACACACTTCCCTAACCAGATTCTCCAATTGAAGACCATTTCCTTCTACCACCATCTCTTGGCCCCGCCCTCCAATTTGTCCTTTCTTTTTGCTGCTCCGGGGTCCTCCCGGCCGAGCTCGGCAAGGGGGGCGACGTCCCGCGGCTCGCTCCTCTGCTTGCGCGGCCGCAGCGCGCTGGCCGGCCCCCAGTCCTCGGGGCGGACGGGCGCTCCCCCGCGACCCGCCTTCCGTCCCGGAGGCCTCTGACAGACCCAGCCCTGCTCTTGCTGCTCAGATATGCACGCCGAGAAAATCTCAAGAAGAAAGGGGCTTGATGCGTCCTTAGGGAACCGTGCTGAGGTTTACAGTGTAAAGTAAAATGATGGCCGCCTTAGCTGGAATTCATTTGGAAGTTATTATTTACTTTTTCTCTTCCTATCATCTCTAGGATCTCACTAACTGGGAGTCGGTCCTCACCATCGGTCTGGGGCTGGAAACACTTGCAGGCACGAAGCGCCCCGCGGGTCCACGTTGACGCCGGCCCTGCTGGAGCATCGGCCAGCTGCCGGCGGAGGCGTCCCCGCCGGGGCCTCTCTCTGGGGCAGGTGCACGGGTCGCGGATGGGAAGGGAAGCTGGGTCTAGGTGAAAAAGCCAGAACAAGAAATGAACAAGGCTGTGCATCATTCTAAGATTGAATGGGGTCGACGCCTGTTGCTTGCGGAGGCGGGCGGGGGTGGGGGGTGGAGGGACCCTCCTCTTCCTAACCCTGTGATTCACAGCTTCTCAGAAATTTACATAATACAAGGGCGTAGATGTAAACGTAAAGGACAAAAAATAATAATTCAACAGCACATATTCCATTTTCGCACCATGGGCCTGGATATGTTCCCAGTGTTGGCACATTAGCTGATTTCCAGAGCTTTTACGCACGGCGAAGAGTATCTGAACTTTCACACCACTGCTGAAGGAGAGGAACGGAGAAAAACAGGAGGGACTGGCGACCCAATTTGATGATATTGATTTAGATGTCTGAGTAACGGAAAAGCAGTTTAAAATTAAGAGTATGTACTGTGTACAAAAGTTGGAGGTATGGGGTCTAAATGGTGTCCCCCTCTTTCCAAAGGTCTTTCTCCCCTGTATTTGACCTCAACGTTGTGTTCTAAGCAAAGTTATTATCTTTTTTAATATGAATGGGAAATTCCAATATTTTATTTCCCTAAATTAATGAAGGCATCAACATCTATGAAAGAGAGAGAGGAGCTTACTGTCAACCAGACTCCTACTTTACAGCAAACACAGGAGGAAAATGAAATGTGGCAGCTACAAAATACATGTAGCTGCTATCCAGGCTTTTCCAGGAAGAGCTTTTCCCTTCTGTTTGAACTTAAATGTCAGCAGAAGCTTAAACTTTTGGAGCCCCACTTTTGGTATTCTCTTGTAGAATGTAGATTCCTTGTAGAATGTAGGGATAGGACGGGGACTGTGGGATCCTGGTACCCCCCTTATGTCAGCCCAGAGGGTTGTCTGGCACAGGTGCCCTTAAGCCTTGTGGCTTGCCTTGCCAAGTGTGACTGACTTGAAAAGTCCAAGGGCTCTGGGATGGGTGTGCATCTGAGCCCTTCTCTCTTGTTATGCAGGTGTGGGCATGGTGGTCACTGGAAGCCTGAAACAGGAGCAGCCTTTCTTCCTGTTCCTCTACCTTCTGTGTTTTACTGTGACCCAGCGTCTCCTTTCTCTGCCAAACGTGTGCAGCAGTGGCCACGTTCCTTAATATTTAATCCATCAGGAGTTTGCAGTTCTTATTTTAAAGTCAGTTTCTGGAGGTTTTAATGAAAATCCATACAGGGGGACCTAAGACAAGAACATGCCCACTTTTTAAAAAGTAAACAATTAATTCTGCCCCTACCTGATTCCCAGCTGCTGCCTGTTAAGGGACAAAATAGAATTCCTCTTTCTTCTCCCTGCCCCTCACTCTCTTTAAATGCTAGATTCTCCAACTGGTCGTTGCAATTAAGAACCACTTTTCTTCCTTTCTAGGCAGGTTCTTCATATGTTCTCACGTGTGTCCTGGGCCTCCTGAGAGATAGAATACATTGTGATAGTTGCCTGCCCTGCTTTGGCCTCCTAGCCCAGGTTCCCCAGTTGAGAGAAGGCCACACACAGCTAACAGACTCCTTGTTCAGAAATGCGTTTGGGCAGTGCCCCCTTTATTTTGAATCTTTTTTTCTGTCTAGTAAGACTAGATAAAGCCCCCTTCATTCCTAGAAGATGTGGAGGTTGAAAAGAGATTTCAAAATAAAATGACTTTATATATAAAAGCTACCACCTTGTTAAACAAGCAAACAAAAAGCTAACTATGAGCTTTTCCAAAATCTTTTTCAGGCAACTGGATTGAAACACAACCACTCTGTTTCACGACAGATCTTAGGTTAAATACATGGAAATAGGAATTACATTTGGTAAATTATTTTTCACAACCTCAAGGACTTTCCTTGTCCTTGGGGTCCTGCTCTCTGACACTCAGTCCTTATTTCCCAAGGGGACACTTTCTTCTGTAAATTCAGGAGTTAACCTTCACAACAGCTTTTCAAAAAAAAAAAAAAATCCCCTATTTGTTGGAAGCCGATTTCCTGTCTTAAGCATTTATGCCTATATAAAATTAATCACTTTCCAAAGACTCTTCTGATGGAGTGGAAGATCACATCCAGCAATCCCTTACTGAAACAAAACTCTGTAGAATTTGAGTGAATGACAATGATGAGCTTTTTCACTACAGCAACTTTATGCTTTAAAAACTTTATTTCAGGCGGTCCAGCAGGGAGGACCTAACAAAAGCCCTGTCCTCCCCAACAGTCAGCTGGCTCACCTGGCCTTCCCCAAGTCCCGTTCTTGCCGTCCTATTGGGTTCTGACCTTCCCCTAGGCGACCCCTGTTTAATGAAACTTTTTCTGCTTCCTACCAGAATCTCCTTCCAAAGTTACAATTAGTTTTGCTTCCTTGGCATTTAAGGAAATGCCCTAAAGAATAGACTTCAATATTTAATCAAGGTTTCTTTCCTCCAGTCACAGACAAAAGAGATACTTTTGGTTACTTGCAGGGCTAAGGTGGGGGGAGGTGGTGCTAAAAGGCAAACGAGGGCTGGTTTAAAGCAGAACAGAAAATAATTTGACTTGGTATTTTCAGTTTCTGCGCAGGGACCTATTGATGTCACCCACGTGTAGGGGGGCTCCAGGAACAAACCTAGACCAGGGCTGCAGCAACAGTAACTGCTGTGTCTGGTCGTTCTTGAAATCAACTCACTCTTCACGTCCTCTCCGAAGTGAGAGTCACCGATCTAGGGGCGACAACGTGGGTGTAGACTGGGGAGAAGTCTGAGTGTGTTTATTTGTTGATTTTTCTCCCTCCTGTCGCCCAGAAATATAGCCGCCTTTACGGTAAAGTTGGAAACGACCGTGCTTTAAACCGTTCTAGTACTGAATCCTCAGTCTTGAGGATGCGTGCCGGTCACTCATAAAGACGGATGGGGGAACATCCCTGCGGCTAAAAACGGCGCTCCAGTTCTAGCCAAGCCCGGCAGGGTATCTACCTCTGTCGGGTGTTCAGTTTCTACTTCTCCAAGGCCTCTGCGTGCTGGTCCCCGGCTCCACCAGGGTGCAAGACTCCTGCGCCACGGACTGGCCAGGTTGTGGCTCCCGGGGCGCGCCCTCCGCCCTGCGCTTGACCTCTGTGATGCTGAAGTTTTCCAGGCAGTCTGAAAG